ATTAAATCGAAAGAATTAAATATTCCCGCACATTATCCGCCATTTACTATTAAGCTGGTTTTCAACGGTAAGAAATTGCGACTTATAAAATCAGTACAAAATATTTACAATTTCTTAGAACTTACTTTAAAATTAATATCCAAAAATGACATTCTTTCAAAACATAAAAGTATCAACGGGATAATATAAAATAATTAAAATTACATTTTCATAATCTTATATTGCTTTTTGCATAAAATTAATTTTGTGCTTAATGATTCAACATTTTTCCCTAATATTTAGGTTACTTTTATACAAAACTTGTAAAATATACTATGTGAAATTAGAAGAAATTTTGGATTAAGCATCTATAGTATTTATATATTTCAGGGTGTTCATATGGCTAGATATTTTGAGAAACGAATATGGCGAAGTTGCTAGGTTTAGATAAAGTTTGGAACTTTTTCAAAATAATACAAGCGAATGGTGGTCTTCGTAATTCTTTGCGCGTACTATACAGGTTATTACAAAACTAAATACCAACTAAAATAATATTTATCAATATTTTTCATGACAATTTCGTTAATTATAAATTCTTTGTATTGTATTTTGATAAACCTACGATAGAGTGTAGATATTTATTGTCTGTTATACATTTTTTAATGCATACATTTAAAAATAGCTTGATGTTAGTAATTATTAACTTTTTATACTTCAAATTTTTCAGGATTGATGAATTAAAGTTAGGGACCTTAGTAGGTGAAGATAAATATGGAAATAAATACTACGAAAATAATTCGTACTTTTTTAGTAAGTAAAAAGCATTAAGTTTTATATGTTGTATAAGTAGTATATTACATTTATTACATAAAGAGTTACTTATTATACATAAACAATAAAAATATTTAAAGAAATACCTAAAATATGAGATAATATAATTTGGAAAGTGAATTAAACAATGACAAATGGAGAATAATTTAATGGACGTTTTAAATAATTATTTGTAGTTGGCATAGAAGTAAAGTATTACTGTTATTCTTGTAATATGTTTTGTTTATCGTGCTTTCTAATAGGCTCCAATAGATGGGTGGTATATAACGAAAAAGTTGGTCTAGATTATGATGGTTCACAAGTCCCAGCAGAATGGTTTGGATGGTTACATTATAAGACAGATTTACCTCCACATAAGGATCCAAATCGACCTAAACATAAATGGATAATGGATCATACGGAAAATTTGAGTGGCACAAAACATGCTTACATGCCTTATAGTACTACAAAATCGAAAATTGAACCTTGGAAACCACCGCAGTAATATACTTCCAACATAATTTTAACATAGAATTGCTTGTAGCAATTATAATAGTGATAAAAATAATATGTAATTTAATGTAAATAAAATACGTGTGTAAAGGATAAATAAGTGCTTACGTATTTGTAGAAAACTTCAATATTTCTATTTATTTAGGCTATCAATTATACTACTGTTGACATTTTAAAAAATCATATGTTATTTTGAAACATGTTACATATAAAAATTTATACAAATTATACCAAGAATATTTCACTTTTATTTTAAAATTTAAGTTTTTATCAAAAATAAAAAAAATATCTTAATGACGATCTTAAACAGAATT